GTCCCGCAGCCACTTACACATTTATTTTGCGTATTGGCAAATTTAATTAAAAATTCAGATGGTATAATTCCTGATGGCGTCGGTCTTTGGCATTCGCAGCAGATATAATAGGGGGACATTACGCTAGCAGAGGAATAACTGCCCTCAAAGGGCCGCCGCATATTACATGCACGTGCTACCTTTCCTTTCCATGCAAACACATGCCCTCCCATTGGCAATAACACAAAAGCGAGCCAGCCGAACATGCGAATGGCGTCCTTGTTGTACTAACATGGGCCTGGGCTAATTAATTGACCAGCTCTCGGCCTTTGGCGAATTCGCTGCTCCGGCCAAAATGGATTAAAAACAGAAAAAAGGAAATATCGAAGAAGAAAAATATAAATCTTAGCCGGCCCGATGAGTAATCTTGTGCAAAGTGCTCTGCAGTCTGGAATAATTATGCAAATGGTGCTTGCCAGAGAGACAAGAGTATTTTTCCGCGATGAATATTTGAGTAGCAAAATGAAAGGCAAATAGCAGCGCAACTTCTTGTTTATCTAGCAGTTGTTAGTCTGCTTTCTATGTGTGCCTCTGTCTGTTGTATATAAGAGTTAATGACTTTTCTCACTGGAGGAAACGGACACATTACCATAATTAAGTTCCGCAACACAAAACAAATAATGCCGCGATGCAGAATTTAATCGCAGGGGTAATAAAAGGATATTGCGACACATTTAGTGGACATGACAGTCTGTACCAAAAGTCATCAACACGAGAAGAGACTTTTCTTTTTTCGCGACCTCGTTTTCTGCAGCAGCTGCAAAACACCTTTCCGCCAGCTTAAGATGAATTAGTTTTGCACCGCGTCTTTCTTATCTATTAAATCCTGTCGGCACTTCCTCCTACGAACGTCTAATGAAGTTACTAATGAGAACTCAGAGTATAAGTCGTTTACTCCAATTTAATAGTTTGAAAAGTAGATCTAAAAACAATTAAAAACTTTATATGTAGATTTAAATTTTATTCACTGCTACAAAATATAGAACGAAAAATTTGCATCTATGCAAATTTTTTATATAATAAACAATGCAATAAAACATTATTTATTTTATTAATCAACGTATTAGGAAGTCGACATAGTTGTTCAAATCTTCAAAAAAAAGTAAAAGAGTAAGTTTTTATGCAGCCAGGCCAAATCAGCGGCCGTTCACCGATTTTATAGACTTCTGCAACCATGAAAGTTTTTTACTGCCTTGTTTTCATCCCAAAATTTCCCTTCAGCTTGACGTTTATTTCCTTTTATTATACATTAAGAAATTAACTGGCCATAACTAATGTAAAATTTGCTAATATGGATCTGAAAAAAATCAGCAAATTTGATTTACAGGAGTCGGAAAATTTCATTAAAACAAAGCAAGATAAATTCCATGGTATAATCTTTGTATTTTTTCAACAACAATTTTAGTCTTCATTTGTAACCACAAAAATCAATAATTAAATTGCTCAAACAATTAAATAAAATAACCATTAAATAATACTCATGTAATCAAATAATAATTAGATATTAAACAGTCAATTAAATATTATCAAAATTAATATTGTAACTTAGACTTGAATCAGAGATGTATTATTTGATGAATGCCACAAATAAACCGACGGCAACCCGCTATCCAGTTCCACGAGCAATTCAAGTTGTTTCACTTTGTGTTTCCCTTGATAGGCAAGGCGCGCTTATAAGCCTGTACGAGGCACATAAGCCGCCGGCCCGCTCTGAAGCATACAGCCGCACTAGCCCGGCTGCTTCACCCACCTTTCGTGTTTAATATTTCAGAAAGCCCGAATCCGACGACTGCACCCGCAGTCGCCGTCGAGTAATTCGCCTACGAGTTATTAATTAATTGGGAATAAAAGTTCATCTCTTTCGGCCAACCCAAAAACCCTAGACACACTCGAGAACCTCCGTTTCAGTGGGGGCTCGGCCTAAAGAAAAAGATTTGAATTAATTTCTAATTAAATCGACGCAACCGATTGACGACGCACCCGGCACCTTAATTGGAATTTGTCACACCCCGCGGCGTACGAAGTTGCTTTCGGGAGAAATCATAAATACGGATAAAAATCAAATTAACTGAATGAGCAAAAATGTCGGACGGACCAGATGCGCCTTTGGTCGACCTTTCGTCGCAGACGGAAGGGTCAAAGGACGAAAGTTCAGGCACGACAACCTCCCAGGTATCGGCAGGCGACACTACCCTAACCAAAGATCCACCCCCGAGTGAAGAATCTGTAGGGGATGACACCGCTGTAACCCATGGAGAAGGCACAATTGCCCTTATCGGCGGAGAGAAAAAGACAAGCACACCTCGCAAAAGCATCGTCGATGACGAAATTCTCCAGTTAGAAGAGAAATTAGCAACCCTTCGGCTGGCAAAAGAATTAGCTGAAATAGACGAGAAAAATCACGGACCGCAGCCGGACACGCGGCAGCGGGCCGAAAATCTCCGAGAAAATTTAGCAAAAGAGCACGGAGGCCGCGCCTCGGCCGCCGCTCAATCTGCTACCAAGTCGGACAGACCTGACCGGGTGGTCACCGACACAAATTCAGCCCCGGACGGAACGAGACCGCCGCCGCCAACCGCACCCTTGGTTGATGGCATAAACTCGCAAGACCCAAATATGACAATTTTTCAAAGTCTCGCCACGGCATTAGTAAATGCAACAAGCAATGCAGCGCGTCCAACAAGCGCCTCAGACATGACGAGAATTTTCACCAAAATCTACATTCCCACATTCTCTGGCAAGCGCGACAAAAATTCGCCTCATGAGTTTCTCACCTTTATTTCATGTCAAGCAAAAGCGCACGGAGTACAAGTGCTCGAATAAATCAAAGCAAAAATGCCGACCACGCTCAAAGGTGAAGCAAATCTGTGGTACAGCTGCGTTGGTGTCAATTGCAACACAGTCGAGGACTTTCGCCACCAATTTATGACCGAATTCGCGGCCGTAAATTACAAAGAGGAATTAGCGAAAGAACTAGAAAAACGCAGCCAGCACATCAACGAGCCACTGACTACGTACGCGCACAAAATAAAGGGTTATTTCGACATAATTGATCCGGCGACGCCCGAGCAGAAAGTTGTTGAGAAAATTGTTCAACAAATGCACCCCGCTTATTTTCTGTACATGCGTGGAAAAACTTTCAATTCAATGCAGCAGCTCTTAGACGAGGCCGCGGTTGTTCAAAGCATCATTTATAGGATTCAGACCTATAAGCCACCCCCACCCGCGCAGGAGGCCATTGAACTCTCTCTCGCATATACTGGACCCGACCAAAGTACGGCCGATGCGGCCCGCTCGCTCCAGGTGCAAGATGCTGTGCCGCTGCACGCATTGAATCCGCAGATCCGCCGATCGCGCGCACGCACAAGCAGAAATAGATCTCGCTCTCGCAAAAATCGCAGCCGCTCACACGGCTATGATAAAAATCGCCGATACCGCGGTGATTACAGAGACAGATCTCAAAATTCCTCTCGCGACCTTTCACGAGGACGTGATAATTTTCGCCGCTCGCACGGTGAACGCTCAACATCTCGCGACCGCTCTTACTCCTCCAGCCGTTCGCACGGACGGAGCGATTCTCGCCACTCGCTTGGCGGAAAATCAACATCAAGTGACCGATCACACGGCCACAATGATAAAAGCCGCACGCACGGCAAAAAGAGCACGACTTTCGCGAAAAAAGCGACAAATTTTTCAAAGGAAAAGCGCGACAGCAGCAATGAGAAAGACAACAAAAATCGGCAAAATAAAAAGAAGGCTAAAAAACCCCGTGATTTGACTCCTCATTCCCGGAAAAATTCGGAAAACTAGACAAGCCACCTGCAGCTGATGCCTCGGGCAGCGGCAGGAAAGAAAAATTATTAGACTTAGAAAAGAAAATACAAGCATGTGAACTTCTAGTTAAGAGGAATAAAATTAAAATCAAGGATATGCACAGAAAAGGGCCACGCCAATTTGACTTTCGCCGCCCAACCATTCCTTTGAAAATTATGAATAGACATTATGTTGGAATCTTAGACTCTGGTAGTGATGTTACTTTAATTGGGTACAAATTGTTTGAAACTTTGCGCAACAAGGGAGCAAAAGTCTGGTACTCTGACAAAAAATTAGCAACAGTTGGAGGCAGCACAAAAGTTGTAGCAGCGATTGAAGTCCCAATTAAATGGCGTGCAGGATTTGTTAAAATGCCATGCTTTGTCTTAGCAGAAAAAACAAATGAAATTCTGCTAGGGAGAAATTTTACAAGCAGCGCAAAAATTGGAATTCTGCCAAATGGATATTTTCACACAAAAGAGCCAAATAATGTATTTAGATTTGTATACAAACAAGCAAAATTCATGCACTCAATGCAGGCTACAGTTCAAGAGAAAAAATTGCTACGCAACGAACTTCCTGGAAAAATAAAAAATGATAAAAATGGAATTCTGCGTGACTTGCTGTTGAAATACAATGCAAAAGGATTGTTTAGTGAGGCCCCAGGACTGGCTAAAGATTTTCACATAAATGTGGAATTAAAAGATGCACTTCCATATAAGGCAGCACTTCGTCCAACAAATTCAGAGACAAGACAAATCATTGATGAAGAATTAAGCAAAATGTTACTTCATGATGTAATTGAGCCAATTGACGACGCAGTTTTTGTTAGCCCCATACATCTTGTGCCAAAGAAAACACCACTAGGGCAAGCACAAAAATACAGACTTGTCTGCGACATGCGTTTCATCAATAACAGAATGACAATTAAGCCCTACCCAAATGCACTAAATTTGGAAACAGTGTTTAGTCAAGTGAAAGCAAAATATTACACCAAAATTGACTTGAGTGGAGCTTATTGGCAGATGGCAATTCGCCCAGAACACAGAAAATACTTTGCATTTAATACACATAGAGGAATATTTGCATTCAAAAGAGCACCATTTGGATTTGCAGGCTCTGGATTTGAATTTCAAAAATTAATTGACAAAGTACTTAGAGGACTCAACTACAAATTTGTCACCTCTTTCTATGACGACATCTGTGTGTATTCAAATTCTCTTGAAGAGCATGTGAAACATCTCCAAATCGTTCTCCAAAGACTTCATGAAGCAGGACTCACAATAAACCCAGGCAAACTGGAAGTTGCAGCAACTGAAATAGAGCTTCTTGGCCACAAAATTGGAGAAAATGGAAAAATGACACCTCTGCCTGAAAAAGTGGAATGTATTAAAAAATTTCCTGCGCCCAAAAATAAATTGAATGTACAACAACTCCTTGGCCTATGTGGATTTTTTCGCAAATTTGTGCCCAACTACCAACTAGTCGTCGCACCTCTCACAGCACTACTTCGCAAAAATGCCACCTTTGAATGGGGAGAACAACAGCAAAAGGCCCTGGAAAGTTTAATTGCAACACTCACATCAGACAAATGCATGATTAATTTACCTGAGATGGACAAAGATTTTCAAATCTGGGTTGACTCTTGCAAGGAAGGAATCGGAGCAATTTTGACACAGAACCTCGACGGAAAAGGATATCGCCCTGTGCAATTTATTTCTCGTCAAACCAACTCTGCAGAGAAAAATTATTGTATTTCAGAACTCGAATTCCTTGGCGTAGTTTGGTCCATTTCGAAGTTCCAAGATTATATCCAGCACTCAAAATTCACAGTCTTTTGCGATCACCAAGCCATCCAGTACCTGATGAAACACCCAAACCCTGCAGGACGCCTGAAAAGATGGACATTATTTTTGTCAGGATTCAATTGTCACCTTCAATACAAACCGGGAAATGAAATGCAAGCACCAGACGCACTGTCGCGAAATGCAGTCATGATAGAGAGTGATTATAAAATGCCATTCACGGACCGCAACAAAACAATCCCGCTCGCTGATATCCAGCAGGACGGCAAAATTACGTTCGCAAATGACATGACCTCACTCCCTGACCACTCCTGTGACCGTTGCACTGGCCAAAAGAATCCAAAACCGCAGAGAAAGGCCGAAAAATCACGAGCCGAAAATACTGCAGCCATGGCCGGCACGAGAGGAAAACAAACCAACAGGAGAGCGCAGAAAGGAGACAAGAAGCGTGACGTCACAGCAGCGAACCAATTTGAAAATAAGGAGAAGGAGAAACGCCCGCGAAGCCGCTCGCCAGCAAAGCAGGCAAAGAGTGAAAGCACAGCGAGGAAACGCAAAAGAAAAAAACAGCCCAAGCGCCGCTACACCAGCACACTTGTTATTCCATCGCCGCAAGAATTAAAAATGGGCAACAGACTAAAAGTTCTCTTGACTCAAATTGAGAAAAATAAAAATTTTCCAATTACTGATGAACAATGGGCCATTGAGCAGGAAAAGGATAAAGATCTCCAGCAAATGAAAATTCAAATACAAAAAGGCAAAAAGGAAAAATATTCAATAACAGACAAAGGTGTAATAAAATATACGGCAAATGGAAAAAACCTCATCGTTTTACCAGCACACCTAAGAAAACGAGTCCTTGAAATTTGCCACGATGACGTTCTCAGCTCTCACCCTGGAAAACACATCACCTATTTGAAAGTTTCAGCACATTTTACATGGAGAAAAATGCGCAAAGATATTGATGATTACGTTCGCGGTTGTCCAACGTGCCAAAAAGTGAAAGATAAAAATCAACCCAAATTTGGCTTTCATAATAGAAAATTGGACACCTACATAAATGAAGTTATCAGTGTTGATGCAATTGGACCTTTGCCCCGCAGCACTTCAGGACACAAATTCGCACTTGTTTTTGTCGATAATTTCTCAGGCTACACGAAAATTTTTCCACTTCGTTCGGCGACCAGCAAAGTTTTCGTTGACAAACTAATTTTCTGGTGTACAACTTTTGGCTTCATGAAGAGAATAATTAGCGACAACGGCAGTCAATTCATTTCAAAAATTTGGAAGCAAACGTGCGAAAGGCTGAATATCCAACACACACTAATTTCGCCGTACCACCCCAGCGAAAATAGATGTGAGCGTTCCAATAAAGAATTAAAAAAGAAGATTAAGTGCTATACAAAAAATCACAAAAACTGGGATTTACATCTTGATGCAATCTGCTTCAGTATAAATTCAAGTATTTCTTCAGCCACAAATTTCACCCCAAATTTTTTGTTCCTCATGAGAGAAATTCAGCACCCTGAACTACCTTCAGAGGAGCACGATGAAATCGAGTACGCTGATTATGTCAAGGAAATGATCAACCGAATGCGCACGGCCCAAGAAATTGCTTTAGAAAACGTCGCAGACAAGAGAGAGAAATACGCAAAAAAGTACAATAAGAACCGACAAAACCACCCATTTGATGTCGGAACAACAGTACTGCGTGAAAATATGATTCTCAGCGACAAAGTCAAAGGCATCGCAGCCGGCCTCGCGCCAAAATACGAAGGACCATTTAAAATTTCTGAGAAAATCGGGAAAAATACTTTTCTACTTGAAACACTGCAAGGGAAACCGGCAGGGCGCCGACATGCGGAACAGTTAAAGCTTTTCACGGCACCCCCGCCATGGTCGTATGCACATACAAGCGACGAGCCGCGCCGAACTATACGGCGAAAATAGGATTAAGCCGACCCCACGGCATTTAACCCGATTCTCGGCCGAAAACAACACGGCCTAAATTCAGATTTCCCAAAATGATGTTCGCCTTCAAAGACTCTTTGTTGTCAGAGGACAATAATTTCATTTTCCAAAGTTTTTCGTCATTCAAAACTCAACCGGAATCCACGGTAGAGTAATTGCCGCGCCAACACCACGGCGCCGCGCTTAATGCGATCTTCAAATCAAACGTTCGTCCCTCCGAACTTAAAAAGACAAGTACGGACTGACCTGGACCAGAGGAGAAGATAAAATTTTTTTAGTTTTAAATCTAATTTTGCTAAAACATTTTTCAATATTTTTGGTGTTAAATATTTAAATTCATTTTGTTCGTTTTTTCAAAATCTACATTTCATTAAAATTTTGTTTTTTACGAACAAATTCTTTTCCCAGGGGGGATTTGTAACCACAAAAATCAATAATTAAATTGCTCAAACAATTAAATAAAATAACCATTAAATAATACTCATGTAATCAAATAATAATTAGATATTAAACAGTCAATTAAATATTATCAAAATTAATATTGTAACTTAGACTTGAATCAGAGATGTATTATTTGATGAATGCCACAAATAAACCGACGGCAACCCGCTATCCAGTTCCACGAGCAATTCAAGTTGTTTCACTTTGTGTTTCCCTTGATAGGCAAGGCGCGCTTATAAGCCTGTACGAGGCACATAAGCCGCCGGCCCGCTCTGAAGCATACAGCCGCACTAGCCCGGCTGCTTCACCCACCTTTCGTGTTTAATATTTCAGAAAGCCCGAATCCGACGACTGCACCCGCAGTCGCCGTCGAGTAATTCGCCTACGAGTTATTAATTAATTGGGAATAAAAGTTCATCTCTTTCGGCCAACCCAAAAACCCTAGACACACTCGAGAACCTCCGTTTCACATTATAATTATTTATAAATTTCTTTTGTTGCTATCAGAATTTTTGGAGGTAGACCATATTCAGATAGATGATGGAATTTCACTTTCAGAGTTTTTTACTCAATCAAATGGCTTCAAACAAGGTATGAATTCTAGCCCAATTTGTTTCAATATTTACATCCATGACATTATTAAAATATTCGAGGGCATGGACGGAGTGGACTTTCTGCTCTTTGCAGATGATATGGTTTTTATTAGCGATTGTTGTAAAAAACTGGAAGAAATTTTGAGAAAGTTTTTAATTTACTGCACAGAAAACAACTTAAAAATAAACCTGTCCAAGACAAAAGCTTTAAAATTCACAAATAAAGGTAAAGGGCCGAAAGGAAAATTAGATAAAATAGCTTGCGAGGGGAAAGAAATCGAATTTGTAACTAGTTTCCCATACCTTGGTGTAACTTTTCAGAAAAGTTGCACGTCCTTCTCCAAACATGTCACCGAAAGATGCAAAAAGGCCCTCGCAGCCATGCACTTCAGTGGGAACTTACGGGACCTATCTCTCGACTGCGCTAAATCTCTCTTTTTTCTTAAATTCGCGCCCATGGCCACGTATGGGGTGGAAGCAATTTGGCCGCACTTAAAATTATGTGACTTGGTTACGTATGAAAATTTAATGACTAGATATTTTAAAAAAGTTTTAGGAGTAAGTAAATTTTCTAGAAGCTCTTATCTGTATCTTTTGATTGGCGACGAAGAGCCTTTTGTAACTAAAATTAAGAACACCTTTAATTTAGTTGACAATAAAGCTTATGAAGAATTCTTGGAACATATTCGGCATAGAAAAGAACGTGACTTTAATGTAGAAATATTTCAAACACCGGCAATGTTAAATGATAACTGGAAGCAGCCCTTGGTTAAAAATAGACATGTTCAAACACGGTTTGCAATGCACGGCTTTCATCAAGTACTTTGCTTGTACGGATAAAACTTTTCATACCGCCGGAGAAAAATGTAAATGTAAACTTTGTGACGAGACAAAGATTTCTCAGTACCACCTCCTTAAATGTACAAAAAGAATCAAATCCCTAACTGAATATGCTAAAATGGATAAAGATAAAACCTAGTATAGATTATATTTAACCTTAAGTCGACACTTTAATTCTTAACTATTATAATGTCTTGCTGAAGTTGTACACAATTGTGTTAAATAAATGGAAATAAATAAATTTCAAGGATAAATATTTCTAGAAATGATCAGTTCATATCAATCAATTTTATGGAAAAATTAAAATTCCTTTGAAATGTGTTAATTTGAAGTTTCCATCTTTCTGGAATTAGGAGAAAAAAGAAGTAAAAAAAGCCAAATTTAGAGCAGCAGCCGAAAGAGCAAGAGGGTCGCAAATTTCGCGGTGTTTTCATTTCTGGAGGTATAAATATTTGATCGCGCGCGGCTGGTTGATTCGTTGGTCTGGCCGGCGAGCGATCATAGCTTAGGGGCTATGATTAGAGTGCGCGAGCCGCACTCGCAGGGGAGCGTCGGCGGCCGAGTGGGAAGTGCCACGGTAATTACGTCCTTCGTATAAAGGGTCAGCCAAGCATGTGCTGCGGATTTGGAACTAAAAGGGTCACCCTCGCTCGCGCTGGATCTCTTTTACGCACGCATGAGTTGAATCGCTGATGATGCCCGGCCGCTTTTTTGCCGCGCGCGCGTGTGCATTATGTTATTATATGTGTTTTAAATAAAGAAGGTTCAGGCTTATCTAGGCAAGGCCCCCATCAATCCTGCCGAGGGTGCAGCGCTGCGGTCCGCATTCATTATTGAGACCGCTCGCCGGAATTAATTTTTAATTGAGTCCTCCAGGGACTGGTTTCGTTTTTTCCCTCTTGCCAGATCAAAGGCGCCAAATTTGAATTTTTCAGCGAAGGAAAGTATGCATCTGGAAGCACGCATTGCATACTTTAATGCCCGGAACGACCGCAGCCTCTCATAGAGAGAAGGGTCTGTCCATATTAGGGAGGGTCTGATAGCCGGAAAGTGCACAGCCTCGGCCCAAATTC